AAACACAGTGCTGTTCAAATACACCAATAGAATGTCATAATGACTTAAGACATAAACATTAAAAACCTTTAATATTTCCAGTAAATCTTGTTTTGTAGGATTTCATAGGTAAAGTTTGTTTTAAATGGCATTAAATAAAAAACAAAGTCAATGGTTTGCAAAGCAAAGCCATGAACTAGAATAAAATTACTCCACCTAAGTTTAATTTCATATCTATAAATACATACATGCTCACAACTTTTCCCTTTTAATGTATCTTAATTTTTATTGACATACACACACACAAAAAAATCACCTGTAGATATTAGAATTTACTTCCAAGACTTGGAGCTACCAATTGACCAGAAGCAGCTTAACATGAAAAACTAAACACTCCACTAGCATCTGAGAGTCTGAGTTCAAATGTCTCGAGTTCTCAGGATCTGAACAAGAATATAAAGAATTACCTGTTCAAAGTGGGAAGTGATTGCTTTCTGCATTTAACTTTTTAATCTCTCAATTTTGTGTTGTGCATAGAGCATATAGCCATGTGCGTATGACAAGTTATTTTTGTTTAAAACCAATTTGTACATATACTTTTTAAAAAACACAGCAAAATTCAAGCTTAGCAAGAAAACGTTAATGTTTATGCATTATTTAGTCCCAGTATTGCCAAGGAGTCTGCCCACACAGAGTCCCAACAGATGCTAAACAGATAGAAGGGCTGCCAAAAGCTGAAAGCATTGCATAGTCTCCATTTCACGTTCAGTGTCATTTAAATTCAGGTGTTAATCTCTGCCTAGTTTATTTAAATCTACCAAACTGAGAAAAAGAGATCATGTTTTAGTGAGGTTTGACTCCGAAAATCTTTTTTTTAATATGTTAACTAATTTCCATTAACTTCTAGTTTATAATGTTACTTAAAGTTGGTAAAGTAAGAATAACCAGATCTAAAAGAAATCTTAAAAGAGAAGTCTTTGCTTTTGTTTATAGATTTATAGAATACTAGCTTATGTGCCAGAGGTCTGTAGAGGCTTCAGAACTCACAGAAGACTTAAAGATGATTAAGATGATAAAATATGTGTGTCCACTAAAATAAATATGAAAGATGGATGCATGTTCTGCACTTTCACTTGACAGTAGTGGGAATGTGCTGGTTTAAATTCACTGAGTATACTGATAATTTAAACTCTTTTTAAGACTTAAAAACTGTTTGCTGTGCAAAACTGTCACGTGAGTAAAGATACCTAGGAATATTAGAACTTTATGTCCCCTAAATAATATGTCATTTTTCTGCTTAGTGAACTGTAGAAAACATTGAAGATCTAAGAAGGCTTAATAAGAACAGTCTTTTATAAACCATCCTAAACTAGGATGCAAAAGTCTTAATGAAAAATTAGTCTTTCATACATGTTTAAGGAAACCATTATAAAGAGAGTTAAAACTCAGCACAGATTTTTTTTTTTTGTTTTATTTTTTTACACTCTCACTTTAGATGGGAAGGTTCCCCTTTTGTATCTAGCACTGTTAAAAAATATACCTCACACCCTCGGGTGCAAGTTATTACCCTCATTCAAACAAAACTTTACTGAGGATAAATCATGTATTTCACAGAAGGGCTGAGGTGTCCTGCCAGGTCCCACGGAAGTGTTTTTGTCTGGTTTGTTTAAATGTACCCTCAATTAATCCTTGGCTACTTAGGGACTCTTCATTTCTCCATGCTTTCCTACAGATATCCGGTGCCTGAGAGTCCTGAAGGCTTACCAGTAAAGATCAAGGCAAAGAAGTCATTGAGTACCTCAGCCTTTTCCATGCCTTTTGTCACCAAGTCCCCTGCCCCATTCAGCAGCAGGTCCATGTTTGTTTGGTTTTTTTCCCCAGTCTGTCTTTTGCTGCTGATACACCTGCAGAAGTCCTTCCTCTTACCTTTCATTTGCCTCACCAGATTCAGCTCCAGATGAGCTTTGGCCTTCCTAACCTTTTCTGATCCTATATTGTTTCTGACAATTTTAAAAAGATGTTGAACATTTTCCTCTTTAGTGTCTTACGATTATTGAAGACTGAAATGCAGTTAGTTGTAGTTGAAATAAGAGAATGACTGGTTTTGAGGATCAGCTTCCTGGTATTTATGAAGGCAATTTTTAGCAGCTTCCGTTCCTTTCTGTGGGAAAAGCAATAGTGCTTTGTGAATCCTTGGAGTTCCTATGTTAGATATAGGAGAAAGTATATCGTAAATTAGGTAAAACTGACAAGGAGAAATATTTTTTTTCAGGTGGTTCTAGCAAAATGAAAACGAGAAAATTTAAAGCTGAGTCTCTCCTTCCTAAATCTCTATATTATAGTTGCTAGGTGGGTGACATCACTTTTAGCAATTATAGTTAGATATGTAAAATGCTAATGGCATGTTACCCTTAACGTGTTCCGCAGTACATGCCCTGGAAGCGGTAATTTAAGAGCCAATAGAGGCGCTTGACAACTCTTAATGAAAGCAGTAGCTTGAAAATCGCACATTTCCAGGCCTTTAGGTGCAGTGTCCTAAGGCTCTCGAGAGGTTCACTAGAGCATTCTTCTTGTGTTCATGTTCTTGCGAATGGAAATGAGCTCCATTGTTTGTCTTGTGGAAACATTAGCTGAGGCACAAGTGTTGAAAAAAACAACAGCAACTGCAAGCAGCAGTGAATGTAGAAGTAGTAGGAGGTGTTAGAAGCAACAGGGAACTTGGGCTCCATGGCCTGTTTTGCAAGAATGTGTAAATATTAAAGAATGATTAAAACAATGTAATGGAACAAGACGACAGAAGGGTCTCCTCCTGGATTTGGTTTCCTAGCAAATGCAAACCCGGAATTTTATTTGAGGTTTGAAAACCTTTTGATGAACCCTGAGCTTTGAGCACAGCTGGGGTGATTTATGGCTTCGTGATTTCAATCTGTAACAGGCAGAACTTTGCTGGGTTGTGCTGCAGTTTTAAATTTTTGAGGTTTCAGATGTGAGTCATTAGTTTTTTCAGCCCTTCACTTAAATCTTTTTAGCAGATACAATTTTTCTTGCAGCTGTTCTGTCAGACATTTCAGATAAAAATTAAGCAAAATAAAGCAACCCCACAACCTACTAAACAGGGTTCAAAGAAATAAAAGTCAGTTCTAGTTTCAGTTCAGTTTTACTTGCCTACTTTAACTAATGTTGTAGTTTTCAAGTCACGTGTATTTTTGAGAGAAAGTGAAGTTGACAATATCTCAATTTAGCATACATAAACCAAATAGGGGTAACCAGCTTATGCCTTGAAGAGATCGTAACAGCTTGGTTTTATGAGGGCTGTGCTGGTTTTAAATAGTATGCCAGTGAAAAATTAACCTAATCTGCATTTTGCATATTGCTCCTAATTTGAGTCATGCCAAAGCACAGAAAACATGTGGATCACTGTTTTCATCTCAACTGGAAGATTTATCAGTTGTTACTGATAGTGGTACTGGAGTTAGCATGGCAGTGGTTATGACTGGAATTAGCAGCTGCTTCTGTGATCCTTTGGTAGCACAAAGACCAAAACATTAATGCTATTAGTCATTCTTACCTCCCTCCCAATTCATTTGCCAGTATTTACAACAATTCATAGAGAAACTCAATGAAACATCTTGTAAGTGTGTTGCTGGTGTGGATACAGATGGCCAAGTGTCGCTTTGGGGGTGGTAACTTAAGGACAGATGAAATGAGTTAGGCAGCGAAGGTGCATCCTCTCTGACTTTCAACATCCCAGTAAAAGAAGAGTGCTTAGGCCCATGTTCTGTCTCTGAGGAAGCTGTCATGGAGAAGCTTGTGTCCATGCTAATAAATTCTCCCAGTCTGTACACAGGATGAAGGTGTGGAATTGCCACCTGGAAATGAACCATGGAGGGTTTTCATTTGAAAAGATGTGGGGGGATTGCTCCGAAGAGTGCTAGCTGGGCCAGCCCGAAACCTTCCCAGGGACCTTTCTAACAATTTAACAACATACACAATGCCAGTGCCTGGGAACATCTCCTGGAAGCATTTAGTATACAAGTATTGATATAGACTCGATGTCTTTCAGGATGTTGTCTGTCTTGTTTTTCATTAACTTAAAAAACGTACTATAGGAAATTCAACATGTATTTGCTATATGAGCATGAAATACTGCACATACTCATGTCAACTTGTGTGTGTGTTGAGCAGTAATGTCTATTGATAAGCAGATTTTTCCTGACAGTTTGTCAGGTACCTACTCTGCAATATGAATCTTGTGGCCCAATGCAGGCAAGATCTCTTTTAGCATGATGCCAAGAGAGATGGTAGGGAAAAATGTATTTTAGGAAATCAAAAACTGCTAGTTTCAGCACCAAGCGATTTTACAGGAAGCAAAAGTAAATTCAGTGTTTTTCAATTTGTACCACACAACAATAAGAAATCATATTAATGCAACGTTTTTATGGTAGGATGGTTTGATCTTGAGAATGCAGCTACAATTCATGGTTAATGCCAAACATATGCTTGCATAGTGATGGCTTGTCCCATTGATTCAACAAATGGAAATGTTGTGTTGAGAAGTAAGTCTGATTTCCACATACAGAGCCACGTGTCTCACATTGAGCTTCTGTTTGCTATATCCACTTTCTCCTGGAAAAGTGAGAAAGGTTACAGGAGTCTCTTCTCCTGTAACTGTCTGACTGGCAGCGTGATATATACAGCACATATCAGAACCTGTTTTCCCGCTTTCTAATTAAAGCAGACGTACTTTTGAAGAAAGTTAATCTGGGAGCTATCTCTGTGTGTTGGTTAAAAATGTACCTCGTTGTAAGTTTGAGTATCAAATGAAGAATATGCTTTTGGGCCTTACTAAAGTAAGGCCTTAATACCCATGAAAGCTAATAATACAGTATCACGTATCTCACATTCATTCCAGGGCACAGTTCTAAAAAGTGTCACTTTCAGATATAAGTATTGAAACAATCTCAGTGTCTAAAAAGTCACCATGTTTTTCTTTTTCTTTTTCTTTTTTTTTTTTCTTCCAGCTGTGGGACCTACTGCAGAAGTTGCAGTTCATCATGACATACATTGCTCCCTGGCAGATTGCCTGGGGATCATCGTTCCATGTTTTCGCTCAGCTCTTTGCAATACCTCATATCCTTTATAAATTTGTTTTTCTTTATTCTTAAATTCCTCTTCATGTATGTAATTTATTTACAGTGTTTGAAGGAGGTGCAAAATTCCTAGGCAACTTATTTTAAAATGTGTAAATGCTTGGAGCATCTCCTGAGAAATAGTTTTCTCTTTCTTGGCTGCATGGGATCTGAAACTGGGAAACTGAACTCTGACTCAAACTGGTCTACTTACTTCCCACCAAGCCACATGCTGCAGATCACTTACTTCTACAGTCCTCAGCACTGACTTTTGATGCATCTGGAAAGAAATGTTGTGACTGATTATATTAGCTCCAACTTGGGTGGACTTTTATATGTGCAGAAGCTAGTTTTGTAAAGTGCTAGGCATATGGCTGACTGAGCTCTGAAATACTAGTTACTTTCTCAGTTGCTTCTGTTTGGTATCTCAGACACAAAATCATTTCATTGAGCCAATTTCTGTTGCAACTGGCCTGATTTTTTTTTTTTTTCCATTTCAGAAGCAGCTGGATTTTAACACTTTAATGTACATTTTTCATTGAGGTACTGAGAAGCATTCTCCTTTTTAACATTTCCACTCAGTTTTATGAGTAACAATATATTGTTCAACACCAAAGCAGTCCTTTGGAAACAGTAGTTTCAGTGCCTGTTCCAGGGCTTTTAGATCTTGCAGGTTGCTTTGAAAGCATGGTTAGCTCGCCTTTTTATGGAAATACTGTACTATGAACAATGTTACATGTGTTCAAATGTTTTTTTGTGAAGTCTCAAAGTCTGCGGGACACACATATGGGATATTATAATAAGAGGGTGAGCTAAAAGACTGTGGTTATTGGATGATTTGGCCTAAATTTTAGTTTGAGATGCACTTGAGTGTTGTACTTCGTAGTCATTCCTTAGTCCGTGGTTTCTTTATTTAGCACGTTCTTCCTAAGAGTGGTGTAAGGAAGAACAATTATTCTCTTACACCAACTTGGAAACTTTTTTCCTGAGATTTCATGGACATGATATGAATTAATGAAGAATTAAAGCCTAAAATTTAATGTACTTTGTTTTTCTAATCATGTTTCTTTCGACTTGCATGTTTTTCAGTATCCTTGTCCGTCTCCTAACTTGCTTTCCAGCAATCTGGAATATGAATTTACGTTTGAAGTCAGCTATGGATTCAGGCATTCATTATGATGTTTATATATGATATTTACTATTCCCCTGTCCTCTCCTCATTTCGTATATATTTCAAAAAGTATAAAATGCTGAACATTTTTTACCTTTCAGTCAGCACAGAATATTGAATTGTCAGTTAAAATTAACATGAAAGCGTGATTTTAATCCAGCAGGCTGGATTAATAGAGGCAGAATTGTTTCTCCACGTACTAGGTCATTCCAAAATAAGCAGAAGCTCACAGAATGAAATACTGGACGCACTCAGAGCAAGACTCCAGTGCAGAGAACTGAGAATTTCCAGGAAAATGAGTTTTTGGGGATTTTTGTGTTTTAAACTCTGTGCGCCAGACTCCAGAAAGGCATTTTGTGTCGTGGAAGTTAGGCTAAGGTGGCTGGAAAAGGGCACTTACTGCTCTGCCCGCGCTCAGGATCTGCCCTCGGGTGGAGATTAGACAGGGTCACCCTGCTCTGTTCAGACGTGTCGCTTTCGTTACAGCTGTGTAGCGTTGAAGAGCCCCCGATTACACGCTGGTAATTGGCAATTTGGCACTGCCTGCCTTTCCTTTCCTTACCACCTCTTTGGTAAAATAAATAACAATAAAAAAGGAAAAATAAATAGTTCAAAGAGCTGTCTCAACAATGGTTTAAAAGTATAATGAAATAATTTGTGTTACCTTAACTTGCAATTTTCAGACTCTGCTATGCTTTTTTTTCAAACTCTGGCCGCTTCAGTCTTTTCTACACCATTGAGTCCATTTCTTGGTAGCGTCATCTTTATTGCATCATACGCAAGACCGATCAAGTTCTGGGAGAAAAACTACAAGTAAGACTATTCAAAAATTTTATACGCTTGTTATTTGTAAAGGTTTTGCTCTCATTAATGTCATTTCTGGAGGTATTTTTCTTTCCAAATATAATCCTGACGTTGTAGGGCACGAGAGGTTAATCTTTGAATCTTGATCCTAGTGTTTTACTATTTGATGGTTATTTGGTTATTTCTGAAAAGGTATTTAAACACTTATCAGTAGGTTACAGATGAGGTGTAATGTTGCATTTGTTGTCCAGACATACAGTAACAAAGCTGTGAAAAAAACAAATCAGTAGAACTCCCAGTTGTCCACCTCTTTTGAATTGCTAGCTAGTGTTAGCAATTAAATCTGTGAAGCCTTTGGCACTAGAAGTCAGGCTGCATTAATAGATTTTTTTACTAGCCTGATAAAGTGTTACCATTTGGGATGTGGCAGGTAACTCTCATAATGAAGTGATGATGAGTGTGCATTATCATTACTTGCTACATCTGATCTTGGAGTTTGACTGAAGGATTGGTTGGTTTTGTCAGATTTTAGCTGCTATTCATTCAGTTTGGCAAGGACGTAAACGTAGAATAATGTAAAGATTGAGTAAAGAGCTTCTGCTCCTTCTGCCCATTAAGATTTGAAGGCTCTTGGTAGCTGGAACCTAACAGGCTGGGTTAGTACAAGAGTACTGGAGACAGAGAAACCCTTCCCTTTCCAGATGGAGGTAGTTTTTGCAAGGGATGAATGAGCGATCTGCAACATTAGGGACTGGCGTCAGTGGCTAAGGGATGGTTCTTTGAGTCCTGCACTCTGAGCAGTGCGTGAGCTCTTCACTGCCTACCGACATGTTACCAGGCTCAGAGTAACTTACTACAGCTGCAGAACAGTGATTTGAGGCACGAAGTGAAAATTGTATTGACCAAATCAGGACTTGGCCAGACCAATGAGAAGTGCCATAGTTAGCACGCTTCTAGTGCCAGTGCCATTGATGTATCTGAGCACCTCAAGAGAATTCAAAACTAGAAATTACAGTGACCGATAGGGAAATGGATTTTGTTTGATTTTGACTTGTGTCAGTGAGTGAATATGTTACTCATCTATAAAGAAATTACTCAGACAAAGCCAAATCGTAAAAAGAGGCTTTGTATTTGCTTCTGAATATGAAGAGATTTGTGGAAACCTTTTGAGGGGAGCTGAGTTTTGTATACTGGGGCCAGATAAAATTCTTTCCCACATATCTGTGTTTTTTTGGTCAACAGGTTCATTATTTCATAGGAGTGAAGTTGAGGGGAATCATGGAAAGGCAGGAAGCTACCACTAATCTGACAGACAGCTTTATATTTTTGGACAGAAACTTTGAACAGTGTTAAGTAGGCAGTGGAGATGTTAACATCTGGTATGTTTTCTTCAACCAGAGCATTTTGAAGGCATATGACTTCATTTCTAGGTACCAGTTAGAGAATCAAACTCGGTTGTAGGCACATCACTTCCATATAACTAGGTTAGTGTAGAATCTGTAGATTATTGTAGACAGAAATAGAGGGGACTGTTTTAATTTGCTTTTGTTTTCTCTAAGGCTTTTGGGATGAGATAAACAGAAGATACTCAAAGGAAATTTCAAAAGATGGTGCTTGATGCTTAAATAAGGGGGGGGAGAGTGTCTTGTTTTCATCAGCACTTGACGATCTGTGACTCCTATTAAGGGAAGTGAAGAAGTTGGTGCTAAAAATTTTTGAAAGCAAAGCTAATTATTTTACCCATAAACTGTAAAACTGAAAAAATTGTGCTTTGTTGTTTGCTAGAAATTCTAGTGTATCTTTTATGATATTCTCACTTAAACCATAAAACCCACAACCTTGCCCCTCAAAAACCTTTCAGAAGTAGAGAACAGCCTTGTAGAAGATTCAAATAGTCATCAAAGTGAAATAAACGTTTGCCTGAACCTGTGGCATCCCACAATATTAACATGTAATGACTCCTCCTAAATTTGTATTCATTTTGTCTGTAGCATTTCTGAGTCTCCTTTGCCTGGCTTCCATTTCAGTATTTCATTGCTCACATCAAGAACTGACCAGAGGGAGTGAATACTGGACTGAAAAACTCCTGGGTCATTAAAAGAACGCAGTGAAAAGACAGAAAAATGCAAGGGAAGGGAGTAATTTTCTGTTAAGAATAGGGAAATTTTCTGCAAAATACTTAATTGAATGAAGTGAGATGGGCCTTACCTTGTTGCTTTAAATCTTGACCTGTCAACATCTGAAGATTCAAAGGGAAAGCATAATTGCTTTCTTTCAGAGCTGTGGAGTTAAACAGGACCAGGAACTTGAGCTCCAGTGGAAAATTATTCTGGCTCCTGCACTGAGTGAGCTTTGGGCTGTGGTGCTTACGGCCAGATGTGCGCTAAGTTTTCTGGTGCTGTACAACAACACAGAACAAACAGATAAGGAAGCTGGTGTATAGATTTCCTTTTTGGAGTGCATTGACAGTTTTGCCAAGTTTGGCTCAGGGTGCTCATAGAAGGTCCCAGGTTCACTGGAATGCAGTCTGAGATACGCTTATGCGAAGCAGAAGCTCTGGCAGATTTTTTTGCCGTTTCCATACTTACTGCCTGTTGATGGGAACTTTTGCCCAGAGGAAAACTACCTGCAATGTGTTTTATATAGCTTTTTTGTTTTGTCTGCTTTGCATACTCATTTGCAAACACTTCCTTGCTCTCTTGATGACTACATTAAATTATCCCATTTATGTTAGCTACACGAAAACTTATTTATATGAAGTTAGAAGCAGTCAATTCCATGGTTATATTTTTTAATAATTTAACATCTTAATTGAACTAACTGAAAACAATTTTGACAAGCAGTCTAGATATCAAAATATCATGATTTTGTTTTTCTTCCAAACCATAAATTAGTTTGCTTTCTTGGAGTGTCATTTCTGTTCATCAGTGTATGCACACTTCACTGCTGTCAAGTAAACTTAATTTTTTCTTTGTTTCACTCAAGGAAAACTTTTTTTTGCATCTTATTTGGGCCAATTTGCACCCATTTGGGTGAAACTAGATGAGGAAGAAACATCTAGTTCATTTTCTGTGAATCCAAAGTTGAAGCAAATAGAGAACACCATGTTTATTAACAGATCTCGGCTTTTAGATGAGTAGCACAAGGGGTGAGGAACTGCTCCATCTGTTCCTTAAAGTGTTCATTTGGTTGTCTCTACCTGGTGTTTTCTGAGTGCACGCATCCACATCTTGCATTTCTAGTGTTTCTTTTAGTCCCACTTTTTCTGCTGGAGAAAGAGGAGTTTGATTGCTCAGGTTTCTGACCGGGCATCTGCCACTCTAGATGATGTGAGCTGGAGCTGAAAGTCTTAGAGAATTAGGATGATGGTTTGTTTGTTTTTTCAAGGAGGTGTAGGAACTCAAGTGGGTTAAAAAAAAAAAAAAAACGAGATTCATTTTGACAGTAAGTAAACTGTGAAATTCCTAGCAAGCTCTTCAAAATTCAGGAATCATACTGTGCCCATTTGTGCTGTTGTGATGTGTGTGCAGAGCATGGGTGTTCTTCCCTGTAATCAGCAGATGCTGTTTGCTTGTAGTGTGAACTTTGGTACTTGCTGTGTGCTGAGTCTTGTACACCAATGACGCACTGAGGTCAAGGATCTTTCTGGGAGAAAGAGAAGGATGACTTTAAGAAGAAATAAAAATAAGGCAATTAAGAAGGTGATTAAGAATAACTTCTCATGCAACCATTTTTTACAGCTTTTGCTGCCATTGTTGTTGAGAAGTGTGTAAAATCAGAAAGCTGATCTGCTGCTCATGAGCTGGTTGTCTCATGGGAGTTCAACTATGACAATTTTTCTCTTTTTTAAAGAAAAAAGGAAAAGTTTGATGCAACACTGGCTTTGTCCTGCCATTAGCCTGAGTTTGCAGAGTCCTGTTTTCGCCTTTATTTTCACAGCTGTTGGAATGATTAGGCTGTAGATGTCAGAGAGAGAAAAGGAAATAGCAGTAAATCTTGTTTAATGTATAGGCACTTTAAAGCATAAAGTGTTTGTTCAAACGCTGTTGTTCCATTACTCTGCTTGCCTTTTTTCTTTCCTTAAATACTTTGTCATGCTGCAGTCTGCCTGTCCCCCTCCTCCCTTCCTCTTATCTTGCTTTGTATCTTGGATATGGCCATGAACAGAACAGAATAGGAAGTTTACTTTCGTTCCCCAGTGGGTCTAACCGCTGGATCACGTTGAGCAGCCTGTTCTCTGCTGCAGCTGTGACTTGTCCCCACAAACAGCAAAGTGCCACCACAAATCTGGAGATTTCACTGCTTACAAGCTGCTCATCTCTCCTGCTTCTTGTTTCTGTTCATTCTTGGTCATCTGGTTCAGTGCCTATTTTTGGGTAAAGCACAGCTCGCATTTGCTTTGAAGGGTCTCGAGTGAATTACTGTGTGGTGTAACTGAATTAGGTGTCTCTAAAGAGGCTGTGATTAAATTGCTAGTTATCTCAGAATGGTGTTACAGGACACCTCTCTGGGCTTGAAAATGTGTGAGCAAGCCTTTCTTTTCTCCATCTTTTTTAAAAATATATCACGGCGTTATTGTTCCCGTCATTGTGGTCTGAAAAACACAGAGAACAGAGGGTGAGGAAAACAGAGGGTGAGGAAAACCTGCCTTGCCTCTGATCTATTGCAGCTGGCATTTTTTTTCCTGCTGGTTCACTTAACCTGCCCATCATGGACAGCCTGCAGGTGGAATGGGAAGAGTTTTCCCAGTGTAGATGTAATTAGGTTTGGCCCCACATTATGCACGTGTGTGGGAAAAGGAGTTGTGAAACGTACCCATTTGCTCCCTCCCTTTTTCCCATAAAATAACAGGCTTTCCACTTCCAAATGCTTATTTTTTAACGTACCCTAGTGCATCTGGTTTCCCTGTGAGCCTGCTCATCTGTTACAGCTGCTAAAACCCCTGCTCTGAACACAAAACGTCATTCACCCGTAAGTGTCCATGGGCCTTGTTTGAGAGCCGCATGTTC